CTTATTCTCATCTTCACCTTGTAGCAGGTTGTTTATAACAGTAATCAAAGATTATACCAAAAAGAAAAAAAATTGAAAAAGTGTTGCCACCTATAGGTGGAAATTTTATTTACTTTACCATATATAGCCTGGACAACATAAAAAAAAAAAAAAGAGATGATTTATTACATCTCCATAACCTCTTTTCAACCTTATTCACCCTAATATTTACTTTTATTATTTCGGACTTCTGTGCTTTAACACAACCACAAAAAAGTGCATAATTTGACATATATCAAAATGTGCCTTGTATATGTTATTAAAACATTACCACTTAATAATCTTGGATTTTTAATATAAAGCTTCTATGGTTTCAAAAAGAATGAAAGTCATAACCCTACTGGGATTAATGGAGTGATTAGCAGGAAATGAAGGTGTTTGGGAAGTGGTCCTGGTTAGGGGAAGCAAAATTGGCAAAAGGAAATAGGAGAGTGGTAGCATCACAAGAAAGGGCACTTAGGTGGCAGTGGACAGAGCATTGAGCATGGAGTCAGGAAGACCTGAATTCAAATCTGGCATCAGACCCTTATTAGCTGTGTGACCCTGGGCAAGTTACTTACCTCATTTTCTTCTTCTTCTTTTTTTTTTTTTTGGCTAGGCAATGGGGCTAAGTGACATGCCCAGGGTCACACAGCTAGTAAGTGTTTTGTGTCTGAGGCCGGATTTGAACTCAGGTCCTCCTGACTCCAAGGCTGGAGATCTATCCACTGAGCTACCTAGCTTCCCCATTACCTCATTTTCCTCACCTGTAAAATGATCTAGAGAAGGAAATGGCAAATCATTCCAGTATCTTTGCCAAGAAAACCCTAAACAGGGTTACAAGAGTAGGACAAGACTAAACAATAACAAAGCATCAAACAATTCTAGTTTTGGAATGGGCGTGTCTATATGTCTTAGTTAGTAGCAAGCATATACTTTCATTCTGAGTGGTATTACAGAGCACAGTGTTTGAACGTGACAGTTATGTTAGCAAACAGTGGTGAAATTGTGAGAATTTTGCAGAAAACTGAATATTTTTGTGGTTTGAAGTTCTTATTTAACTACACTTACTGCATTAGCAGGTTTAATAGACCATGCATTTCCAACTGGGAAAATGTTGATTAACTATCAAATAGCAAGATCTGAAAGTCTGAAATTTTGTAAAACATCACTTATACTCCCTTAAGAAAAAGTCATGCTTCTTCAAACATCAAGGTATGACACTTTGCTGACAGTGAAAGTATTGCCAGAATGGATGTAACTGAATTGTATGATTCTTAGTTATAGGGCATGCTATAAATATTTTCCTTCAATAAACATTCACCTATAACACTAAAGAAATAATAACCTAAACTTTTTAACCTGAATTATGTGACTAGATACAACATTTACAAGAATGAAAATATTTCACTTCTCTCTTAAAATTCTAAGTTTTGCTTTTCAGTTAAGAGTTAATGAAGCCTTTTACTTGGCAATCTCTGTGGCAGAAAGCTAGATTAACATGGTACTGTGTTGAGCAGGGAGTTTAACCCATGATGGTGGAAAACCATTAATACTGCTCTAGCATACTTATCTCCTTAGGGATTTGAGACATATTTTTCTTTGTCAAAATATTTATCTTTATATAATATACAAATGTTTAATATTTTCAGAATATCCACATCAGCAATGTATTAAGTACTCTAGAAATCTGTCTCACATAAAACCACAATTGTGAAATAATCTTTGAAGTTAAAAAATTCAAGAATGGTGACAAAAACTGTAAAGCACCTATATTAAATGTTACTCTAAGTCAAATACTTGAGGGAAAAAGCAGAAGGATGACAATGCTACTTTTGGAAGTGGATGGAAATTGGAAATTATCTGTTGAACCATGAAAATGTTGGGTTCAAACGTCATATATTTAAGTAAGATGCAAACCTACTTTAAACACTTAAAAATTGCATTCTTTGTGTAGCTCATTTAATGAGTCTAATTTGAGTACTTAGCAGTGTCAAAGTGGAATCATGACCTAGGTTGTATCTAGAAAGCAGCCACAAATGGCAAGTGGTATTTACAAAGTATTTTAACCTTTCTGTGCCTAGTTTTTCCCTGCAGGCAAATAAGCATAAGAATAATTGACATTTTCTTTGTGGAGTATGTGCTTTGACATCCTTGGCTGTAAGATGATAGCTCAAAATCATTGTTATTAAAATAAGTGCATATACGCACATACAGCATAGGCATGGTCCCCTGCTAATGCCCATAAAACATAACTACTCTTCTCCCCTTACTTCTCATCTCTCTATGTCAAAGAAGAGCATAATCATACCATATATCACTAATCCAATTTCTCTAAAGATGGAGGCAAACATTTTTTGGGGGGGAAATCTCCGTATCATCCTTTTGAGAAGCACAAAACTTGCTAATCCCTCATGGTCTCTATAGCAATAGCACTGTGCCCCTCACTTAAATCCTTTGGCAGGGTTTCAAAAACAGGATAAATGGTTTTTTCTGGTGTCTGGATCCATCAGAGAACTGAGAGTTGGGGTCTGGGAGGATGGGATTGGAAGGCATATAAAAACTGTTGCTTAACATTTAAGTGAGCACCAATAATGTATTAAGCATGAACAAAACATGTACGCAGCCAGACACTGACTGCCCAGTGGGCTGTCTCAATGTGCAGATGAACTAGATTTCAGAAATATTGTTAAAAAAAATAATTTTCTCAAGGGGAGGGTGGTGTCTAGACTGATAGCAGAGTCAGAGTAGCAGCATTTCGTCAGTTCTGGTCATCGCCAGGGGATCTCCTTAGGTAGTTCATGATAGGCTTTTCTGATACTGCGATTCCTGAGGGCAAATTTTGAGGGTAGGAGTGAGTCTTTTCATGAAATTTCCCTGCTGGCTATTTCAGTCATGTTTACAGAGCAACAAGGAGGATGTAGGGAGGTAAGGGTGGGAGAGGGGAAGAAAAGATGGGATTAAAAGAAGAGGTACATGATTGAAGCAAAGGGTGGCAACAAGAGAGGCAGAAATTATGAACTCAAGAAGCATTTATTAAACTCTTACTAAAGAAGAGATAATAGGCAGGGGAAGAATGGTGGCTAGACTTGGAAGGTGAGTGAAATAGTTTAAATTTAATCTTGAATGAAGGCTGTGGGTGGTGTCGGAGGGTGTGGAGGGGGAGCCTGAAGTGATTTAAGTGAGGAGGGCAAGAGTAGAATAGCAGTGACAGCCAAATGTTAATCATGTATCGGAGCCATCCCTTGCGTCGAGATTGTTGGTTCTGGCTCAGCTCCGGCTTAGTGGGGGCAGATTTGCTACTACGTTGGCTGTAGCTGGATCGATGCGAAATTAATCGTCCTAGTCCTGGTGACAGGTGTCCCCACACAACCCAAACCGCCCTCTAACATCAGGCTCCCTAGAAAACAAGGAGGATGCAAGGGTGTGTGTGTGTGTGTGTGTGTGTAGGTGAGCGCCTTAACTTCTCTCTTCTCTCCATCCATGGACTGCGTCTATGAACCCCCAGAAGGTCAGGCCACAGGGGCTGCGTGTTTGCTAGGAGGGAAGGGGGAAGGAATCCGCAGGCACTTAAAAAAAAAGTCTCCTGCGGAGCCTATGCCACAGCTAAAGGATAGAAAGGAATAAAGGTGGGGTGGGGGTTATAATAAAATTACACGAACAAGCTAGGAATCCAACCCCTCCCCACCAAAGATACCCCCCCACCTGGTCCGAGGAGCCATCGCCTCTCCTCCCCGCGGGGGCCGACACCCCGGAAAGTCCCCCCTAGTCTTCCAGGGGTCCCTTTTCACTCCCGGAGTCCGTCCTTGCCCCTAGAGCCGCCTCTCGCAGGGAAGGCAGAGACACGAAAGACGCCCATGAAAACTTGAGCCTCCCCAGCCCCGGAGCTGCGGGCAGCAGGACGAGAAAGAGCTGCTCGCCGCCTCCCTAACCGAGGAGGAGGAAGGGGGCGAAAATGGGTCCCCTTTGCCTCTCAACTTCCCTCGCTGCCCCGAGCCCGGGAGGACAGAGCAAAGTCGCGGAGGGCAGCGTCCGGCAAGGGGGCAGAGGGTAGCCTCTAAAATGGGCGACGGAAGGACAATCCTTCTCTCCTCCTCCTCCCCCGCCAGCGATCCCCCCCGCCACCTCCGGCAGCTCTCAGCCGGGCTCAGGCGCTAGGCGCTAGGCGCCCCGCCTCCCAGCGAGCCGGACAGCGGAGCGCGGAGCAGTGATTGCCCCTCCGCCCTCAGCCGCCGTCTGCCGCCAGGGCGCGGTGGACCCCGATGGGGAGGAGGCGGGAGAGACCATTGGAAACATTCGGAGGGGGGGAGAGGAGGGGGCTACTGAAGGAGGAGGATGAAGAGAGGCAGGGGAAGAGGCCGGGGGGTGGGGGAGGGCCGGGGTGCTTTAACCTCTTCCAGATTTCCCTTTCTTTTCTTTTAAATTAAAGCTTGGTTCAGGGACAAGCTCCCTTACTAGAGTGAGCGGGGAAGGAGGGGGAAAAGACATTTTCTTTTTTTGGGCGGGGGTGGGCGCGGTTTAGACTACAAGATCCAGGATAGAGAACTAGTTTGGACAGAAGGGGCGGGAGAGTCCGAGAGTCCCCTTCCTCTCGGCCCGCTCCGCCCCCGCCCCCGCCGAGCGCCCGGCCCCCCTCCCGCCCGGGGAGGGGGTGGTGCGTTCCGAGTTCCCAGGAGTTCGAGGCGGGCGGGGTGGAGGGGGAGGGGAGTGGCCGTGGCGGCGGCAGCGGCGGCGGGCGGGCGGCTCCAGCCTCAGCCTCAGCAGCGGCGTCGGCGACGACGAAGTCGAGGCAGCAGCGAGCGCTCGGCTCAGTGTCACCCGGCGGCGACGGCGACGGCGGGGGCCCGACCGGAGCGAGTTGGAGGCGCGCGCGGCGGAGCTGCCGCGGCCGCGGCCGCCGCTGCCCGGAGCCCGAGGCGCCGGGGCCAGTAGAGGCGGGCAGGGGGGGCGGGAGGGCCGGGCGCCGGGGGGAGGGTTAGGGGGATGGCGCGGACCCCGGGGCCGGCACCGCCGTATCCCGGAGGCGGCAAAGCACAACTTTCCTCCGCTTCTGCCCCCGGAGCCCAGCTCTTCCCGCTGCCGCCGCCGCTGCTGCTGTTGCTGCTCTTCCCGCTGTTCTTCTTTTCCCGGTTCTGCGGTAGGTGAAACCGGAGCCCGGGGCTGGGAGAGCGGGCGGAGCCGCCGGTCCTCCCCGGGGTGCCGGCCGGGGAGCTCGGGGCCCCATGGCGGGAGGCGGTTGGGGGTCGGCGGTTGGAGGCGCGGTGGGGGCGGCGGACTTTGGCTGGAAACTTTTGCCCCGGTGCGCGGCGAGGACTTGCTCCGGCGGCTCCTCGGGGCGCGCGCGGGCGCGCGCTCCCCGCCGAAGTGTGAGAAGTGTGCAAGGGGGCGCGCGCCCCGGTGTCTGTGTGTCTGCGTGTGTGTGCATGCATCTGGGCGGGGGGCCCCTAGCTCCAGAGCCGGCCTGGGGAGGTGGGCTCCGGAGGAAGGCGTCTCCACCCAGCCTCTCCTTCTCCAGTTTATCCCTCGATACCAGGCTCCGCCCGGCTCCCTTTGCGGGAGTTTTATTTATTTGTTTTATTTATTCCTCTTAGTGCTTAGACTTGCTTCGTTGGTGTGGGAAGGGTTCTTTCCCGTGTTCCTCGGGACCGTTACTTTCTCTCTCAGGTGCTGGAGCCAGAGGGGGGGGGGGGGGACGGGAACAAGAGTAGGATGAAGCTGCAGCCTTCTCCCTCATTTTTTCTCCTCCTGACCCACATCTTCCCTATTCCTTCCTGCGGATCTCGGGCTCCCTTGCAAGAAATCCTTAGAAACAGATAGAGACCCAGGAGCCTGAATAGGGATGTAGTTTGGCTCTCTTCTCCGTCCTGGAGTCGGGCAGCATCGGCTTAGTCACCCCTGCAGCATCCCCTACACTCACCTCTTCCTTCCGCCCACCACTGTTCCACTGGTTTTGGGACCCCCCCCGACACACACACACACGCACACACACACCCCTCTTTCCTTCTCTCCACACCCACCCCCGCCTTTCCACCCCACTGTCTGCTTTCCCTCTTCCGACAAGTCCTGTGTCCCCTGGAGTTATGCTTTTTTTTTTTAAATGCCCATTTGCACCAGCTGCCTAACTAACCCCCCCTCACCCTTCAGCATCTCAGTCTTTCCCCTCCTCCCAAGCCTTCTTATTTTCTTATAAATTAGTCTCTAGTTTTACGAATTAGTTTTAGATCAGTTTCTCCACCAACATGTGAGTGATGGCGCTGGATGCTTGTAGTTTGTAGTTTTCATGTGTTCCCAGGAGTGTGAGGCTAGAGACCTTATTGTTGGTTCTTGTTCAAAAATAACTGCCTCTTGTGCTGTGGAGTGGAAAAGGATTTCTGTCCCTTTGCCCTATCTCCCTTCTACCCCCCCCCCCCCCTCCCCCCCCCCCCCCCCCCCCACGGTCTTTGGAGATTGTTTAAATCCTTATCCATCTCTTATTCTAAAGGCTGCTGGAGATTTTTGGTGGGGAGCGGTAGTAATAGAAACTTAGGTCTATTCCCCTCCCCACCCCCAAGAAAAAATCTGTGATGGGTGGATGCAGGCTGCTGTTGGTGGTTGTCAGTTTTAAGGACACAGTTGAGAGTTTTGCTAGGTAAATGTTGATTTGGTGAATAGTGTGATTTGGAGGAAAGAGAAGATCCTCAGAGGCAGCTGTGCCCCTGTGGTTGTGCGGGGGCCAAAGTTATCTTGCAGAGATTGAGTGCCCCTTATAGGCAGTGAACTCCCACTGCCAGTCTGTCACCGCGTCTCTTGCAGTGTAATGAATTAACAAGCTGTTTTTGACTAAGGTGTTTCAGCATGATGGGGTCGGTGGTTTGTCCTTAATTTTACAAAATGAAATTTTTCTTTCTTCTGCAATTCGGGAAAACCTTGAAGACATAAATATCAATGATGTTCTTACCTGTATTAGTTTAATTATGTTCCCAGAGTTCTGATTTTTTGAGTGACCGATGTTTCGAATTATAACCCAAAAATTTGTTACATCTTTATTATAATGGTGTGTAGTAGAGACTGAAGGACAATAATATTTATCTCAGGAAAAAAGGAGATCTGGTTAGGCAAGTGCCCCAATCAAGACTGTGACACCAGCTGATACAAGGATAGGGACTTGCATAACCTTTTCACAGTATTTGTGCAAGTGAAGTGTTGATTGCCTTTTGAAGGAACACATTGGTCTGCACATAGAAAAAAAAAATTAGTTTTTCTTCAGTGTGCAGGTGTTTTTTGAGGAACTTGTTATTTTGTTTTCAAGCACCAGCAAATCTCTTTCCTGTGTTCATTCAATATAAGTATATATAATGTTTTATAGGTTTTTCTTTAAGGCTTTTTACTTTAAAGTTATTGGATACACAACTCCACTTTCAAAACATACACAGTACTCAAAAGTCTTAGTGCATTTTGAGCTCTTTTTAAAAAAAGTAAGCTTTTATAAGTTAAAATGCACTAAGACTTTTGGGACACCCTGTATACAGACTCCACTTTTTTTCATTCAAATAGTTTTTTTTTTTTCCTGAACTGTGGTAGGGTTAGGTCACCTAAATTTATCTGGTTTTCTGAGAGTTTTTCTATTCCCTCAGTTTTAGAATTTAGTCTTTTGAAAAGTAGGCCTGACTTACGAATTCCTGCTAAGTGAGGACACTTGAAATTTTTAAAAAGTAAGTTGTTGACTTTATATATATACAGGTCAGTCAGTACATGCTTATTGGTTGATATCTGAGTTGACTCATCTTGAAAGATGATTCTGATTAAAAGCTATACATTTTCATCATATTGTCTTGTTTCAGCACATGCAGTATATCTTCTCAGTATTGCTCTTTAAAATATGTATACACGTTTGGCATTGTCTTACCTGGGCCAATAACAAACTAAAGTTCCTGTTGTTTTTTTTCCTGTTATATCAACGAGTTTTTGAATATTTTTTAACAAGTGATAGGACAAAAAACAAATCCCACAAAACTCTGAACAGTGTTAATTGGTTTATCATAATGTGCCTCTCATGTAGTGGGAGCCCTTGTTTGTTGAATTGATGATGAATCATTTTGTTCTCTTTTGCATGCATTTTCTTTTTCATTGGGGAAATTACATTTTTAATTGAACATTTTAGTTGGTTAGCAATCTTTAAAGGCTTTTAAAAATGATTGAATATTTCTAACTAGTTGGTTTTACAGCATCTTCTGGTTTTATAATAAATTAGCTCCAAATTTATATCTTTCATCCTTGTCAAAATCATTAGTTTACTATTAGTGTTGGCTTCTGTTAATTTTTTTCCCATTTATTTTAAGCAGTAGTGGTAGAGTTTAGATATAAGGGAAGAGAAGGTTGGTGAGGATCTCTTGACAGTCAGCAAGTTTTTTTTTTTAATGATATAAAGATCTTCCAATCTTCCAAATTACCTGTAATACTGTACCATATGTCAAGATAGTCTGTTTTATTTCCTGATCAAGTGGTTAGAAAATCTGCATGAGGAGTCTATTAAATTTGGAGTAGAACAAATAGTTGAAGGAGACTGGTGGAACTAAGCCTCAGAGAGTAGCAAAAGAATAACCTACTTATACTTACTTGCCCAATTTATTCTATTTTATTTCTATATTTAATAATAGAAGTTGGGGCAAAGACGGGGAATAGGAATAGTTTTGTACTTAACCACTTAATTTTTGTGATAAACATTTCTTGGTTTGTTGAAAGAATTCTAGTCCTTTAGTACTGTTCCTTTTAAAATACACACCCTACTAAAACATTTTCTCATTTTGTTTTTTGTTTGGTTACATTAATGTTTACAATACATCTCCAACATTACATTTATAATATTTAATATAAATGCAGGTGGTTTGCAACTTAAAATGCAAAGGGGTCTTTTATTCTTTATAGGTATTTAGTAGATACCTGCTCTTTTCTTTTTAACCCTATATAGTGAGTCTCCTATGTTTTCACATGAGCCATCATTATTTTCAGTGGTAGATATAGAACAAGGATTCTTAACCTGTGGTCTGTGAACTTTTTTATTTTAAAAAAATATTTTGATAACTTTTATATTTACTTAACTTTGTAATCATATATTTTATACATTTAAAAACTTTCTAAGAAGGGGTTCATAAGCTTCACTAAGAACTTATAGAAGTTATTTCTATCAGAAACTATAATCCATTTTTACACAATTTATGGTATAACTACAACATACATTGCATGTCAACTTGATGCTTGATAGTCATAATCCATAATTTTTAAAAATTTCATAATTATCATAGATGTCATTTTTTATAATCTTGCTGGTGTGAAAATCTACATTCCCAATATTCATTAATTATATAAAACACTGAAGTATTTAATGTATTTTTCTAAACTTGTAGAGATAACATTTTACTTATTTCTTTCATTTCTTTTACATATGTTTAAATATCAGCTATGTGTGAGGCGCTGTGTTAGATAGGCACAAGTAATTAATACTTATAAAGACTGTTAGGTGAAATGTTAGATAGAAAGCGTTTAGTAAAGTCCAAATTTTTTCTTTTGGAGAAGGAATATAGTTTTGGTTCAGTGAAATTTTTTCATAAAACAAAGGAAAGGTTTTTTTTTTTAAGTATTTTCTTTTTTCTTGTACTTTAATGATCAGATTTTGGATAATTTATTCAGATTTAGTGACTGCAAATCAAAGCACTTAAAGATTTATTTGTAAGTATAGGGTGTGATATTGTGATATCTGCAGGAAGCCTTCCCTTCCTTTTGCTAATTATCTCCTGTTTATCCTTTATAGCTTGCTTTGTGTATATTTGTTTACATGTTTTCTCCCCCATTAGATTGTAAGCTCCTTGAGGACAGGGGAGTCTTTTTTTTTTTGTATCTTCAGCACTTAACACAGTGTCTGGCACATAGTAGGTGTTTAATAAATGTTAAATGATATAGAATAATTCTAAGGGATTTTATATATGGAGAAGGTATTTTAAGTTTAATTTCAAAAGAAGATTTTAATTTGTATTGGAAGAATGAATAGTAGGAAAAGAACCTGTTTTCTCTATATGTATCAAGAAATAAAGTTCAACCTGATGCTTTACAAAATGATGCTCTGCTGATGAACAGATATGGTGAATATTAGCATCTGGTAAA